ATCTGGTATAAGTTCAGTCCATTAAGCGACGCTTTTTCAACTTTAAAGTCTCTGAAGCTGTCAACATACTTCTCATAGTTTGTGAATAATTCTTGATAAAAGTCTCTGAATTCTATAATAAGCTTGCTGCATGTCAACTTATCTCTGATTGGAATCAGGTAGAATATTATCTCCCATATCTCCCGAGGTAAAAGTGGCTTTATTTCTCGTATAACGATCTTATCAGTCTCATTTGATTCTGATATCTCTTGCTGTTTAGTTGTCATATTTATCAACTGAAACGTTAAGTATTGATTTGAAAAACAGTTTATCAAAAAATTTCCTCACAGTTTTCAAGAATAACTCTTAATCAAATAATAAAGGGCAAATAATTACGAATTTCAGAAAATTGCACAAAAATTGCTGACAAAGCGACACTATGAAATTAGCAGAGTTAATCGTAAATTACAAAACAAAGCAAATAGCTCACACAGCACACTTTAAACAGACAAATATATATATATATATATCTTCACTTAGTACGCACCTTTCTGTTATTATAGTGGACGCTCTTGAATTTAAACCTGAAATAAGTCAAGCAGATAGGGAAAAGGCCATGGAAGCTAGAGAGGGGTTCTACCAGACCCAATTGAAAACCCTTGAGCGTTATGGGGGTATGAACACCCTCGATAGTAACCACATCCTTTTTAAATCCGCTGGAGCTTAGTGTTTAGTTTATTTATTTTATTTGACATGATCTCAGCCTATTAACCCGTGTTTAGTTTACAATATTGCTATCAGAGACGTGTTATATTCATTACTATTTATATATTTTTACTGCTTGATTCAGAGAAATCTAGCTTTTTCCGAGAAACTAATCTTTAATAGATTAGATAAAATGTACGCAGCCATTCTTTTCGTTTGATTATTATTTATTACTCAGTATATTTTAGTTTTGTACCGTTTTAAGTCACATAGTTTTGTACGTCTTCCTAAGACTTGTTTTCCTTTCCTAGTTTGTAAGTTATTTTAAAGATTTGTGAATATTCCAGTTGCTTTTAGAACAATTTTATCTCAGATAACGATGTTTAATAAAATGATGCAAAGACTTATTTCGAAGATCTAATCAACACCGACTTTTAATGTGTAGGAGTACAGCTACAAAATATATATATATATATTTAATTTTTTTAAATAACTCTATCTCATTAACCAGCTAATATTACTAAACAGAGTTGTTAGGATTTTAAATTACTTACATCTAACAAGGCTGCCCAATCTATGAAGTCTGCAGGTGGGGGGAGCTGCTTCCCCCTAGATTTCACCTACAAATTGAATGTGTTATTAACAATAATATCGTTGTTTTATCCTCAACGGAATATTCATTCCAAACGATTGAGTTGTGTTTGATAAGACTTATTGACCAGGATCTTTGATAATCACAGGAATGAATAGGGCTTTGATCCTCAGTGACTAACAGATCAATGGAATATTCATTTGAATTTACATGGTGATGTATGCTTATCAAAACTTGTAGATTTAAAGTTAGAAATACATATCTTAGATTCTAGGAAAATAATCTCACTTTTTTGGGACTGGCTGCGCTGGTGGTTGGTCCTGTGTCCTCATCTGCATCTGAAATGAAAATTTTTCATATTAGATGAACCAATTCCAAAATTTAAATCATTTCTAATTATTCTTAAACATTAAACTATAGAGTGAGCTAGCTCGTAGGTATAATTTTATACACTGATCAAATTTCTATTTGTATAGCATTCGATTACAATGTTTTGAAATTTTAATAAAAACTAAATATGTATCATTTCTAAGAAGGTCTTCCAAATCTAAAATGGAGGGGTTTTGTTTTTACCTGGGTCTCTTGTAGTGGCGGTAGGTCGTTTAGCTATCTGGAAAATTTTCAAATTGACATACGATGTAACTTAACAAATTAAAATCACTGTGTAATACAGCAATGACATGTGAAGATTTTTGAATTTACACGGTGGTGCATGCACAAATTATATGTTCAAAAGTATAAACTGTAGAAATATATTGATTTCTTTAAAATAGACTCACTCTTTTACGGTGTTTTGCAGCTGGGGTTGACTGTTGTACTGTTGGTGTAATGACGCTCAACCCAACAACATTCGTGTAAGATTTGCCGTTTACAGTCTTCTCGAGAGTCTTTATATTTATCTTACTATTTATCTGTTTGATATTATTTTCTATTACACAAAAATAAATTGCAAATTGAAAATTTGTGTCACAAAAATTTCATATGGTGAATTTGTCATTAATAGTAATTTTACGAGCAGATGTCAGATTTTCAATCTCCTACTTTACACTATAACTGTTTTGAACTGAAATATTTTTTAAAAACCGTTAAAATTTGATCCTTTTGTATGGCAAACTACAAACCTTCAACTCATCGGGGATAATCGATGACCAGACAAGATAGTCCGTCTCCTTATCTTTCGTTTTCACAACGATTTTTACCCTTCCTTTACATGAACTCCCAATGAAGGTCAGTACACCTTCAACAATCATAGCTGAGTAAGATTTTAATGTGAAAAAATTAATAAAAAGCAGATAGTTTAAAACATTAATAACCAGGTCATCTAAGGAAACATTAAATCAATATAAGAAACATGAAAATAACTCAATATTAGTTAGGGCTGACTGTTTTCTCTATTATAGATTCTTGAAAGTATCGGAAAATGCTAGTGTTAAAAATGCTCGAATTTTTTACGTATAAAAAGCTTAAAACAATTAATACTAGCTCAAGGTGTTGGTATGTGTCAGTGAGTTTTAAGAATGTTGTTCAACATTTGTCTCGGTGTTCAGTTGTCCCGGTTCCATAATGCTTACTAAACATAAAATTTAAAAAATTAGATAAGAAATATGAATTTTAGAATTCAAAATTTAGACTCTCAAGTTGGGTTAAAAAAGTTTAAATATTATTGTATAATACGAGCCCCTGCTATTTATGATAAGTTAGCATGCAACTTGAATTAGAATCAAAATAGCAAACTGAAGAGCGAACTATGTATCACAAGACTAAAGAACGAACTGTGTATCTTTTTAAGATAAAATAGAACCTGTGGAGGAACGAGTTGAGTAGATTTATCAATCAAGAACTGATTGATTACAAACTTCTGCGAAACGAACTGATTCAATCTGATTTCCCGCAGCGTTCTCCGGCTTGATATAGTCAGACCGTTACCATGAAAACAAACGTCATTGCATGTTGTTTGTCCCTTGAGCGATGCAGGCAAGCCGCTGCATTGTCAAGTACATTAAGGGCTCAATAGTCCACTGGACGGCTCTCGTAGCTTGACTTAATGCTTGTCTCTATCTTGAATACTAGCAAGTAATGGAATTTGCCTACAATACTAACAATTAATGTACTTGATAGTGCAGTTCACCCTGATCACCAACAATAGTCACATGACTTACAACCAATGGACGGCTACCTCGCCTAGTGGTCGACCAATGGTAAAATTCCAGTATATTTTGCATCTATCTCTTTTTATTTAAAGTACTTTATTTAAGTCAGAGCGGTCACTTAAATGCATGCTTGAATGAACCGACCCTAATGGTTCTAGACAGGTCACGATCAAACCATCTGTGTCAGTGTGTCCTGTTCCATAGTTAACACTTACCGCGCTCAAGGAATTTTTAAAAGCTCTGGTAACCAAATAACTATGTACAGCAAGTAATCTCATGATCCCAATAACAAAACCTCTGTGATATTCATCTTCAATACAAATTTTTACAAGTGATGAAATTGCTCGAAATTTTTACAAGTATCGAAAATCCGTGAAATTTTTACAAGTGTCGAAAATCCGTGAAATTTTTACAAGTGTCGGAAAATGTGTGCAATAGCAAAATGTGTGCTACAGAGGGTAAATATCTCTTACTTACCTGTCGTGATTAGTTTCTTGACATAACGCTTATAGAATCCAGGTCGTGTTGGGTTTCTATCAGGTCTTTTCAAAGCAGCCACAATACAATAAAGGAATGATTTGTCATCTTTATTCCGTATGTTCAACAGACATCTTCTCTTTTTCAACAGTTTGGGAGTTGGCAAGTAAGTCGACATTCTAGAATTTAAGAGAGTTTATGTAATGTTATATAGAGCTGAGTGTTATATATAACATGGATAATTACGTTCTTAAATCACGTCATAATTCAACTAAAATGCAATATGTCTTCTATCTAAATTTTAAATTTCAATCACTCTTGTTATTGATTTGTGGTTTTAAACTACTGAAAGTTCTTAAAGTTAATTGAAATTAATAAGATATAAAACAACAATTTTCAACATTATAGTGATCCCTATATAGACCCTAATCAATCACTCAATCAATCATCCTGATACAGGGTAGTACTGTACAGTTTCTATTTATCTATATTTTTTCCTTGTTAAACCACTTCTTTTGGATTTGAAAATTTCCTTATCACTATTTTAACAGATTGTTAGTAGCAAATCAAATACCTGAAATACCCCGTCCAAGGAAGCAAACATACACTAAAACCATGGTTATCTTCAATTGTGAATTAAGATCATAAATATAAATACACTCTTTAATTCTTATACATTTTTTTAATTAAATGATGCTAAAAAAGTGAAATAGCAAATTCATTTATATTGAAATCTTTAAAAATGTACCTTTCTTTTTTTCGGGGTATCCTCTACTTGGTTGTCCAGGATGGCAATACCAACGATATTTTTGAACTTTCTGCCACCATGGTTTGCAGACACATTTTCTCTGATTTGTATTCGTACTCTATCAGTCTCCTAAAAGATTAGTATTGAAATACCTAAGCTAATAAAAATATATCTTCGATCGGTGGAGATGTTGACTAACTATTTTGAACTCATCATCAAGAACGCACAGTCTTTCTACCAATACCATGTTACCATCGAAAGATCGTATATGACAATACTAATAAATGTGGTAGTTTAGTGAATTCGTTTACAGATATAATATCTTTTATTATCAGGGGTACGGGTATTTCAATACTTTTAATGTAAGTAACGAGCTAAGCTACAGTACTTACTTTTAACATTTGCGGTATGATCTGGTTGTAAACTGTAAAGTCTTCTACCGTGTCATCGTTGAGCATAATGGTAAGTGCTGTCTTTAAATCCTTGCCTGGAGATGCCAAGAATTCTATCTTTCCGGTTACGTACATAATCTTTCTAAAGTTGAACAAATGGTTAAGGGTATGAGAAAATGGATAACTAAAGTTTCTCAATAGTTTACATAGATTAATCAGTTAAAATTAGATAATACTGGTAAGAGGGTTTTAAGATTGTTGGAGGAACCAATAGAGATGAACAAGAAGTGAATAAAAATGTGTGCGTCTCTAGTCTATGTAATATCTTGGAACAAAAAGTTAGATTTGACTAAAGTGACATCTACCGTGATCCATGGTTACTACAACAGCTGGTGTATTGTCATTCACTTCTCTGCTATAAACCTGGACCCTTTGTTCAACCCCGAAGCCCCTGTTGTAACGAACTTAATAAAAATATAGCTTTGTTAGATGGTCGATCCCTGATTACTATAGCAACTGGTATATTGTCACTTTGCTTCAAGTTTTACGTTGAGATAACTTAACAAAGAAATAAGAAACTTTTGAATCCATTTTAATATCACATCTCTCTGTGCTAGGCTATTGTTCAATAGAACCGGTCCTGTTCTTTGTAATAATAAAACTATAATAAAATAGGAGTAAAGTCAACATTTACTAAATTTACCCGTTGAAATTTAAAGATGGAGTACACTATCTATTACTTGACGGTTTTTATTTTACTCTAGAAGAATACAAAAACTTGTTTGTTTAAAATAAGTTAAATATACATAATACTAAATAGAATACATGCATAAGAGAAGTGTTTGACTGCTCAGTGGGGGGTGATGCAACGTCAATTAATGTCAGTATTCCATAAAAACCCCAAACTGACATTGACATTAATTGACATTAATTGACATTAATTGACATTAATTGACATTAATTGACATTAATTGACATTAATTTGTCTTGAAATTTGAGATTATCATTATTCGATAAATATTCAAGATATTCACGTCTATGTAAGTTAGACCGGTTAAAAAAAACAAAATGTCCTTGAATAATTATGAGTATGTTCTTATCTGTTGATCCTTAGGTTCAAAGACCACAAAAAAAATTTCAGCTTCCAAATCTTCCATCTTCGGTCCCCACCGGCCACGCCCATATTTTATTGGTTTCTTATACAGGTAAAATATCTAGAATCGGCTTTTTTAGTATGAAGGAGTAATGTTAGCTGTTTAAGATTCGTTATTCAAATATAAATGTCATGAAGGCATTTCGTTTAATGTGGGTTTTCAGTTCTGATGATGTTGAGAACCACGCCCTTGGATGGCCACGCCCATTTGAGAAAATTAAATTTCGGAAAACCGTATTATTTTAGTTTTATTGTTTAATGATCTGATTTTTTTTCACATTTCACATTTCCATATGTGATAGTAGTGAATAAATTGATGATATAAACGTTCTAAAGTGCTAAAAATATGGTAGAACTACATAATCTCTGGTCGAAAAATATCGTGTCAATTAATGTCAGTATTCCAAAATTTTGCAAAACTGACATTGACATTAATTGACATTAATTGACATTAATTGACATTAATTGACATTAATTGACATTAATTGACGTTGCATTCCCCCCGCTCAGTGGATAAGTTGGTTAGTATCGACTATGCTGATCTGCAGCGCAAAGACTGTTGAGAAGGTTAGATTAACAGTTCTGAAATGATTAATGAATTCATTTTAATTTACTTGCACACTGCATTATATTATACAGTGCAAGTGTTTAGCCCTCTCTCTTTCCTAAGAAAGTAAGGGAGTGAATAGCTTTATAATAATAAAAAGTATAATTTACCCTCGTAATTTGTCGGCTGTTTCCATCTCACACATGTTATAATCCTCTCGAGAGATGAAGCGGTCGATGACGTCATAGAAGAAGTTGAGCATGTGTAGTTTGGCGAACTGATAGACAAAGAACCCGATTTGGACTGGTAAATCGTGTTTCATAGTACGTATTTTAGATGTGACCTGAAACATATTCTTTTTTGTATTTTATCTATTTACAGAATGAGGAAAACGGGATA